GAGCTGCCCCGTTAACGGCCAACGGTCCCCTGGGCAGCGCGGCCTTGGGAAGAGCCTCGCCGTTAATATTCAACGGTCCCCTGGGCAGCGCGGCGCCGGTTGGAGCTGCCCCGTTAACGGCCAACGGTCCCCTCAGCAGCGCGGCGCCGGGAGGAGCCGCCCCGTTAACGGCCAACGGTCCCCTGGGCAGCACGGCCTTGGGAAGAGCCTCGCCGTTAATATTCAACGGTCCCCTCGGCAGCGCGGCACCGCCCATTAACCGACAACGGTCCCCTCGGCAGCGCTGCACGGGCAGGAGCTGCTCCCGCGAGGGCTCCTGCCTTCCATCGCCCCGCGGAACGTGCAGGAAGCCTAGGAGGAGACGACCTGCGGCCCCCTTAGCAATGGCCTCTTATCGCTCAGTAAGTACAACTGCAGGTCAGGTAGTATGTACCTGCCACAAACCTCCTCGCTGCCTCTGTCAGCTGCCTTCCCCGTGCCCGGGCCTAGGCGTGGGATGGTAGGAGACAGAGGTGCTGTTTCTCATTTAAAGAGACTCCATAACTAGGCTAGTTTGGAGATTGAACCTTTTTTATGCAGTTCCTTACATGGAAAACCTCCTCTGCTACCTCTGGTTAAAACTGGAAATACTGTACGAGAGAATTATCATGATCTCTGACACAGTTAATAAATGACTGTAGCTTTATTGATTCCCAGTGTGAGGAAAAACAAAAAGTTGAATTTATCAATATTTTTACTCCCTCTATAGCAGAGACTACTGATTTGAGAGAACAGTTCAGAAGTTTCTGTGCTTGACCTTATTTTTTGGCTCGCACCTCTGCACTGCAGGGCTTCCTTGAGAGAAAAAGCACCAGTAGATGGTGGGAACAGGCAGAACATGCACTTGGTACATTAGAAAAAGTGGTGTGCAGAGAGGAACAAGAGGCATCCTCCTCTTCAATTAAAAAGCTTTCAGCAAGTGATTAGAGATGCAGTGTTTGTGGCTCACTTGTTCCTGGTGAGCCACTCAGCACCTTGGAGGACAGGCTTTTAAACAGGACAAATAGATCTGTGGAGCCCAGTGTTTCCTTGGTAWAGGAACACTGCTATGCAAGTAGGTTGTACCTCTTCCTCTGAAGTGCTTGGTTCAGTCCTGCCTCAGCAGAGATGACCGAGAAATCTAGTGTTCCTCTTTCCAAAAGGGACGGGTGGCAGCAACCCGTTTAGAGCCCAATGCTCTTATTCACTGCTGTGATTTATATCTTTAGGCTGCACAATACTTGCCTAGTGACAGCAGCTCTGCCTGGCACCGAGTGCAGCTGTAATAGCACGTGGGTGGTATCCAGCTGTGCTTGGGGTCAATATAAGTCACGCTGTTTCCACTTGGGTATCCCCGTCTCCACTCCCTGGGGGAGAGCTGGTGATCAGAGGAGGGAAACAGATGAGGCTGCAGCAGACGAAGYGCACGAAGGCTGGAGGATAGCTCCTGGCTTCACTCCTGTAATAGACTCCTGGCCACAATCATCCGCATCACCTCGTTGGTACCTGCAGCATAATGAGGGTGCAAAGGCAATGCAGTTAGAAATAGTCCACTTCTGCCCTCAATGAATTCTGCAGCCTACAGCACAGAAAAGCTTTCTCAGAGGGAAAAAAATGAGGCGGCATTTTGTAGGTGTTGGGACAAAATGTAACTGCCAAGTGCCAATGGATTCCACAGCAAAGGCTTCAGAGCTGGTGCTCCTTTTTCTGTTCACAAACAGAACTTGTGACCTGCCAAAACCCAAGCTTTCTGCTTTACTGTATACTACGTAATATCACACAGAAAGAAAGACTGTCTCACCCAGCACAGGCAAAATTATCATGAGAAAGGAATTGCTGGGGAGTGTCAGCACATGTCTGTAGGATTAATGGAATGAAAATTAGATGAGACTCTGCTAACACAAAAGCTAGAGATCTTTCCCCCACTGTGAGTCTCTTACCATACACCCTAACTTCTCCAAAGACTTGGTGCAGAAAATGCACCAAGTGTTCTCACCCAGGGGGTTCACACACCTGACACCACCAGGAAACCTCATGCTTGGAGCAGAACTGGATTCTGAAACCCTAGATTCAGAGAGTCCTGTAGGAAGGGACTTCTGGCAGACCTGTTCTTCCCTTGGTACACAGCCAAATCACAGCTAGTGAGAGCTTCTTTTACCTTCCAGGATCTGATGGACTCGGATGTCTCTCACAAACTGCTGCACAGCATAATCCTTCAGGTAGCCRTAGCCTCCGTGCATCTGTAGAGCCTGGTTACAGATCTAAGGAGAAGATATCATTGCTGCTGAGGAGGCTTGCACAGAGCTGAGGACAAGTCAGTGACAGGAGCTYGGTAAGACCCCAGGAACTGGGGCTCACTTCTCTTCATAGAGGCTGCATTTATGGGAACACTATAGCGTAGATATGCCCAGGGAATATTTTCCTTAACCAAGGCAGGTTTTGCTGCATTCTAGGGAACTACTGATGCAAAAATCACAATGCCAGTTCACCATCTAGCGGTCAGGCAGGGAAAATCTGTCCAGGCTCTGATTTCCAGTCATACATGACTCCATGCCTCAAGATCTATCAGCTTATGATAGAAAATATAATAAGTAGGTAGCATAAATCCAGAGGGCAGAGAAAACACAATAGCTTTTMAATGCTACTAATCTAGGAAAATTCAAAGAGCAGACTTCTAGGAAGTGCTCTAGGAAAGACAAGACCTAAAGAGTRGAGAAACTAAGGGGGTGGCCTCCACAGGATGCCGATTTCTGTCCTGTAAAATATCTTAGTCCTGAAATGAGATTTCTGGCTCACACAACAAGCTCAGGTCTGGGTTTTGCAGTGTCATACTGATTTCTAACACCCTGGGCCCCAAGCAGGGTCTCCAAGCATCTGGTTAYAACCCAAGGACGGTCAGAGGAACCTACCGCAAAGCACTCATCGGTAGCGAAGAGCTTGGCCATGGAGCAGAGCACAGGCGCATCCTCCTGTCCCTCCTGCAGCGCCCGCGCTGCATTGCGCACCATGAGCCGTGCTGCCACCAGGCGGGTGGCCATCTCTGCCAGCTTGAACTGCAGGTACTGCAGCACACGGCGGGCAAAGGAAAAGCACGGTGGGCAATGGAAAAGCACGTCAGCATCTTCACAGGGGTTTCTGCAGGGCCCCCTGGCTGCTCACTCCACCAGGATYAGGAAGGGTTCTCCCCAATAGGGAATTTACCTGATTGTTGGCCAAGGGTTCTCCAAACTGTTTGCGGACACTGAGATGTTCCTGGGTCAGAAGAACAGAGGCATGAGCAGCTCCTAATGAACAAGAAGCTGGTGGGAGAAGCCAAGGGCACAGAGTAAATATTAAGTTAAAGCAGACTGACAGCAAAATGACCCTCCTCTCTTGCCTCAGCACTTCTTTCTTACCAATGTTTATCCTGCCTCCATTCAGCCCCTTCATGGCAATGTTGAACCCCTGCCCTTCAGCTCCCAGCAAGTTGCTGACAGGAACAACACAGTCTTCAAAGATCACAGCCCGCGTTGGCTGGGAATTCCAGCCCACCTGAGAAAAAACAGAGTGCCACCCAAACTGCTCGGGGGGCAGCCAGCTCCCTGGCACACTCAGCCTACTTTCAATCCCTTTTTCTTGCTGCCAGGCTGTGGGCCTGTGCTCTGTGTGTGCGCACAGTTATAGAAACTGCACAGAACCAGAGAATCCTGATATTCCCAAGATTAAACTCTCTCACTTACCACAGGGCAGGTGGTATTCAAATTTCCCCAAGCCTAACCAGGCCTTGRCCAGGGAATGAGGAACCAAAGCCAGGCTGGGACCCCGGTCCCATCAMATATTCCCCTTGTGCTTTGCACAGCACGGCCGCTCTCCGGCCTGCCTTCCCCTCAGTAACCTAGAACATGAAGAACAAGCTCCTCACCTTCTTCTCCTTCTTGCCAAAGCTGAGCCCCGGTGTGCCCTTCTCCAGCAGCACGCAGGAGATGCCCCTGGGCCCCGGGCCTCCCGTACGACACATCACCACGTACACGTCTGTGTCACCGCCACCGCTGATGAAGGCCTGTGGAGGGGCACGAGAAGGGGCAGCTATCGCACACCAGCACTGAGCTGCGGCAGCGGCTGTGGGGCAAGCAGCTGCTGCCAGGAGAGACGACAGTAACAGCAGGAGCTAATTCCRTAAAGCACAAGGTTGGCTGCAGCGCAGGGACAGCTACCCAACGGCAAGATATACTGAGCCACAGTGGAGGGGTGCATGCCCAGCTGCCAGGAGATAGTCAGCGACCCAAGAAGACTAAGGTGCGATGGATGCTTTGCAGAGCATGGCATGCCTTGGCAGACACGCAGAGGAAGGAGCAGACAGTATGTTCTACGTAGAAAGGGAAAGGCCCGTGAGACCCAGGCCCCCTTAGAATGAGCAAGGGGTACCTTAGAGCCATTCAGGACGTAGGTGTCCCCTTTCCTCTTGGCTGTGGTCAGCAGGGAAGCGGCATCGCTTCCACTTCCTGTTCAGGAGATAAAAATCAGCTGGTGAAGCAGCACGTCTAATTCTCCTGCTGGTCATACTCTGGGACACAGAGATTGGTACCTCAGGCATCTCAGCAACCATAATCTGCCCCTTCCGGATTTCCCATATGAATAACAGAATAAAGTCGTCCCACCGACTCCCAAGAATATTCATGTCCATGCGGCAAGTGAGGGAAAGGAGAAGACACTTGGGGCTCAGGATGCTCACCTGGCTCTGTCAGGCAGTAAGAAGCAAGTTTCTCCATGCTACAGAGCGATGGGCAGAACTTCTGTCTCTGTTCCTCATTCCCAAAGGTGTCAATCATCCAAGCACACATGCTGGAGCAAGAGAGAAGGAGCAGCATTGCAGCACGTGCATGTGAACACCACCCTAGGAGTAAGGTGGGTCACACAAGAGCATCCCCAACTGAACAGAACAAGAAAACTCCAGGGGGATCAGTCAAAAGCTTCAAGACATCAAAGCTCATTGCTCCATCTCTGCTGCAGTTAAAGGACTGTCTGTCCTTGCACAAGCACACTGGAATGGAAGAAAATGACTTGCCACAGAGGCTGGGAAGGAGGAGGGCTGCCCCAGCCACTGTGCAAACGTGGCCTTTCCTGAACATGTGGGTATTGCTAAGCAGGACAGGCCCTGGTATCAGCCGGAGCCTCTGGGCTCTGCCACAGCAAGGGGTTTTTCCAAACAGGTTACTATCTATAGCTGGCTCAAGTGGAAGAGCAGGGAACAGAATCAGGACTTGATCCCCTCTTGCACGCCACAGAGCTAAAATTACTTCCTGCTGGCATCTCAGGTTTTGTAGCCTGTTTGTTTACTGCAGCCRGGGCATTCTTACAGTGCCCTGTCCACTTGGGTGCCACTGTAGATCRCAAGCAGCCTCAGGAAGGGTGTCTGTAGCTGGATTTGGAGCACACAAAACAACTGTGTGTTTCAATCAGGCTGGCCCTGCCCGCCTTCCACAGGCACACTCACTTGTGGATGCTCAGATAGGCAGTGGTGCTGGCACAGCCCGTTGACAGAGCCTCAAAGATGATGGAGGTATCAAGTCGTGACAAGCCGGAGCCACCGACATCTGGTTTCACATAGATGCCACCAAATCCCAGCTGGGCTGCCTTCCGCATTGCTTCCACAGGGAATATTTCCTAATGGAGCAGATGGAGACATCACACATGAGCATTTACCTTCTGGTACATGTAGGCTGCCAAGTTGAAGACCAAACTCTGCAAAGTTTAAGCTGGCGGGGTGGATGAAGGGACGGGCAGCTCCCCAGTCAGATACCATTTTCAGGAGTAAATGCACATTTCCAGATGACTATAGAGCCTAACCAGGAAAGCTTCGTGTACATTGCTGACGACAGCCCACCCCACTACTCAGCATCTTCAGAGAAAGCCTCTGCGGATGGACGTACAGCACTGTGAGCCCCAGCAGGACTGCCCCTGGAGCCTAAGGACGGGAGCTTCCCAAGGCAGGGAAGCCTCTGGAGACTGCCGTACCTTTTCATCCCACTCTGCCATATGTGGGGCCAGCTCCTTGGCAGCAAAATCAAAGGCAACTTTTTGGAATTCCTTCTGCTCCTCGGTCAGGCCAGCAGACGCTAGAAGAGCAGGAACAGATCGTATTTAGTTTTATTATTTATATAATTCACCCCCTGAGCTTCGCCCAGCTGTTGCTTCTTCAGCCCTGCGCGGGGTTACACTCAAGCACGGGCGCACTTCACCGGGCAAAACGAAGTGCTTGGGAAGGCGCTGGGAGGGCACGCGCGGGGACACGGCGGCTCCCTGGGCAGCCAGGGCAGCCCGGCGCTCAGCTGTCGCAGCCGCGGGACAAGCGCGAGGCCGGGCCAGGCCGCGCAGCCCCCCGGCCCGCCC